GGGAAAATATTTGCACGCGAGGGGGGTCAATGACTAAGAATACGTGCAAAACACGGGGGAGAAAAATAAAAAATTGGTAAAGAATCTGAAGATAGACTTTCCCAAAGAAAAAGGCAAAAAAAAAAAGAAAGAGTCTAGAAGATGGTGATAATCTTGGGAATGTAGAATGACAAAAAAGGGAGAGTTAAACGGAATATTGTTCTGATCGACCAAAAGAAACAGCGCAAAACATTATAGTCGACGACCGACAGGGATTCGATTCACACCCATCAAGCATGACGATTACAATATAAAACCGGAAAAGATATTAAAATGATGACTAGTAACCAAAAAACGGTAGTGAAGGTACACAACAAGTACAAATGGAATGGATTGAAGCTCACGCCAAAACAACTGGATCTTTAAAGACAGACGTTTTGAACAAACTGCCATCGTAATCGCAATTAATTACATCCATCCAGAAATAGAAACTTCAGAGAAGCATGCCCTCGACGCACTCTGAATGAAACCTCGCAGTCTCACGCGCGAGGGGGACGACAAAACGAAGACAGCAGGCATCGCCACTATTCTAGCTGTTACCTCTTCGCTTCTTGGCTTCTTCGCTCCTCGATCGAAATATCCACAGAACGAAACCCGTAGGGCTTCTTGAAAATTGCTTGATCGTTGCCGTCCCGGTTATTAAAAGATTCCGTTGCGCGGCGTCCCATCGATCCCACACTCGAGACTTTCATCGACGGTCAGCGCAGCACGCGACCTAACGATGGGACACTCGCACGAGAGAAAACAATTGAATATATATCTTCTATCTATCGATACGAGTGATTACTCCTCTGCAGTAATAAAGATAAGAATACGTTCGCAGAGTCACCAAGACTACCCTCCCAGCAAGTGAGTTCCCTAATTCGTCACCATCTCTCTCTCTCTCTCTCTCTCTCTCTCTCTCTCTCTCTCTCTCTCTCTCTCGCTTACCACCAGAAGCCACGGAGCATCTTTCTACGCGCGGAATGCGAAGATGAAGGAGCAGACTCTGCAGCGTTGGATGACGGGGCGTTCTTGGACTTCGGGGCATGCTTCGATGACGCGGCGACGGGAACTCCGGGGGAGGACGACGATGCTGCGGACCGGAAGCAGGCTATCGTGATTTGCTCGTCGACCTGTGCGGGGACAAGGAAACCGTTCGAAAGGACGACCAGAGCCACGTTCGCGTTGATCTGCTTCACCTCTGCTACCGTTGCCGAGAACTGCTCTTGCWCAGCATCGCCCCTGAGGATGACTCCGCTTGTCGTCGCCGGCTCCACGAAGATCGGCATGCCGTTGATGGTCGGCAGTTTGTTGTCGACTGCAACCGCCTGCAGATCCGCTGCGGTCTTCACCGGACGCGACAAGGGTCCCACCTCCATGAATCGCAGAATCTGCACCATATGGTCCTTCACGTGCTCGGGCCGGGTGATGCACGCCAGACCATCAGGTCCGAGGCCGACTTCGAGGTCCTCATCAGTCTGCGCGATGAAGACGAACGGCACTGATCCGTTGGAACGATCTCTGAGAGCGTCGACTTCCCGTGTGTCGACGAGGGCCTTCACCACGACCTTGAACCGTTGATCGCTCTGGAGAGTGCCAAAGAGATCAGCCGCGCTAGCAGTAGCGAACACCGAAGCTACCAACACCACCATCACCAAAAAAGCACTGCGTGCCGCGCCATCTTCTCGGCTAAGAGTACTCTTCCTGGATCTACAAGGCCCAAGTACGAAAGAGGAAAGAACTTGCTGCTAAGCTATGGCGCTTGCAGCGAATGAGAGATGCTGGGACGGGGAGGAAGACAACACAAGCAGCTTGCAATGAGAAATCGATCGACTTCGTGACCTCCCCTCCCACGCTCTTGGTTTTGTACCGGCCGCGTTCTCCTCCTAGATGCGTTGTCCTCTGCATCATTGCCCAAAAGCCTCGCGCTTCTCTGTTCGCTTTTTTTTCCGTCACTCGTTCTGACTGGCAACAGCTGCGAAGGGTGGAGTCTAGATCTAGCGCAGATCACGAGACGATAACCGTCGATAGGTTTGATCCACGGTCAGTATCTGTCAGTCGTCCTTACGGGGATTACGGGAACTACGGGAACTACGGGAACTACGGGAATTACGGGAATTTCGAGAACCCCCCCCCCCCMCCCCTTCCTCGGCGTACAGTGCTGCGCAGCGGAGCTGAAAAGCTGCCTGCCGCCATATTTCGCGCCGAAAGGAAGAACAATCCAAAACTTTTCAGAAAACACTTTTTTCTTTTCCTTTTCCTTTTTTTTTTCGGGGGGATTCAGAGCCCATTCGCAACCGACGCAGAGATCCCACCGGCCTTGGCGCGGTCAGGCCGTGCCACGTTGGCCGGTTCGGAGGCGAGGTCCCGTTAGCGAAGAGGGCCACCGGCCTTGGCGCGGTCAGGCCGTGCCACGTTGGCCGGTTCGGAGGCGAGGTCCCGTTAGCGAAGAGGGTGCACTGGGATAAAGCGTCGGAATCTGGGTGGATTTTAGGGAGACATGCAGAAGAGCAGGTGAAGAGCAGTTCTCTGAACTTCTCCCAAAGCACGTCCGGATTTGGGCAATCGTCTTTGCTACCAGGTAGTCCTAACCATGCCCCGCCACCGAAGCTGTACCGCTAGCGAAGAGTTTGGCGCGGTGGGCGGAAATGCGGGGAAATAACAGCAAGAAAATTAACAGGGACGAGAAGCCGCGCGCGGTTCGCAGCAACGTGTCGCTCCCCGCGAATGGATCGGAGCATCCTTGAGAAGCCGCGATCACCTGCGGGCGCGCGCAAATTCCAGAGAGCGGGTTCGAGAAGGGACTGGCTCCACTATACAATATACTTCACATGCATTTGCACTCTTTCTGGGCACAGTTCATTGAGAAACTTTGACTCGTTCGAATGCACCTGGTCCTGAACGCGTCCAAAGATGCATATAGAGTGACGTGTAGTGGAGCCGAGCCCGAAGTTCGCAGAGGGCCAGCTCAGATCATCCTTGGCAGTGTGAGGCCATGGCGAGTTGGCCGCAGTTCCCGCCAGCGAGTTTCTCACCGCGCCAAGTGTTCCCATGTCAGCACCGTGCGCAAAAGCGGAACCTCCTACTTTTGGACCAAAGCGGGCAGATGCTGTTCTCTTGGAAGCTTTCCTTGAGGAACAGCAGCTAGTGGATGTATATCGGGCTACACACCCGGATGAGCCTGGCTTTACGTGGTTCTCCTCCCAGAAAACCCGAGATGTTGAGCCCCCCAAACGAAGATTAGATCTAATTTTAACTAGGGGCCAGGCATGGGATTCTCTCACGGACGTTGACGTTGACGTTGACATCCACCCTCTTTCCGACCACCGCCCCTTGCTAGCCACTTTTGTCACGGAAGCAACGATTCAGCGCGGAGTCGGTATTTTCAGGCTCAATGTTGACCTGCTGCAGCATACGGAGATATTGGACTGGGTTTCGCAGCATTGGAGAGATTGGGAGCGAACCAAGGACTGGTTCGATACGGAAGCAGACTGGATTCAACTTGGCTTTCGGATTGTTACCAGAGCGTTGGATGTCTTCTCGCGTATCTACGCGAGGGGGAGAAGACGAGAGGAGGACAACTGCAGACAACAGATAATGGAAGCTGAGCGAATGTTGGAGAGTGAACCATTGGTCACCCTCTATTGGGAAAGGCGTAGAGAGCGCTGGATGCAGCGATGGGAAGAATTACAAATTGAGTATCAGACTACCTGGGCAAGGCGAGCAGCCGAGAGGGGAATGACCTGTGGTGATCGAATGACCAAGGAGGTCTTCCAGAGAATCTGCCTCCCCCGCTCCCATACCCTCTTCAGAGAGCTTCTCCACCCCTTTCTGTCACACGCAGATCTGGCAACAGACTCAGTGTCAATAGGGAGTTATGCCCTGGAGTACTATCATGACATCCTAACTTCCCGCAGGCCACCTCAGCAGACCCTTCAGCAGCTGCAGGAGGAGGATAACTTATGGATATACGGATACACAGGAAGCCAGATTGAGCCTTGACGGTCCAGTTACCCTGGACGAGCTCACGGAGGCGCTAAGGGCCATGGCTCCGGGTAAAAGCCCGGGTGGAGACGGACTTCCGGCAGAATTTTACAGAGCAACATGGGATCAGACCGGACCGATCTTGGTGGACCTCTTCTACCATATCTTGGAGGGAGGACAACTTACGGAAGATATGAAGACAGGAGTGATCACTCTGATATACAAAAAAGGCGACAAGAGAAACATTCGTAACTTCAGGCCAATATCCAGATTGAATGTGTCTTACAAGTTATTGGCGAAACTCCTGGCTAGAAGATTAGCAATCTACCTGCCTGGGCTGGTCCACGTTGACCAAGGAGCTTTTGTACAGGGCAGATCTATCGCTGAGAACATCCTCGTTGCCATGGGAGCCCTGGAGATAGTGCAGAAGGAGAATAGTCAGATCATTATCACCATGCTCGACCTCGAAAAGGCCTACGACAGGGTCAATTGGTCTTTTGTTTTGGCCACACTGGAGCACATGAACTTTGGACCAAACTTCAGACGGTGGGTTGCGAAACTATATACAGATTCAACAGCTTCAGTCTTAATCAATGGCTTCCAATCTCCCATCTTTTCTCTCACACGCTCATTGAGGCAGGGATGTCCGTTGGCCTCCCTCCTATTCGCCGTCCAGATGGAAGTGCTTCTCAACTCTATTCGGAAAACACCAGACATTCGGGGCCTACAGCTGTGTGGTACTCAAACCCTTTCCACAGGTGCCATCGTCGACGACCTGCTGCTCGTTGCCGAAGCTGAACCACAAACGCTGCGCCAAATCAAGAGACACCTGGATTCTTACTCAGTTCTCTCTGAGGCGAGGGTAAATTGGAGTAAGTCGCTTTATTTTTTGCCCAGTGACTATAGTCTTGAGGAGGACTGGGGCATGAAGAGAATCGGTAACAACAGGGGGTGCAGGTTTCCCTCACCTCCTCTCGTCCCACCCAGGATGCACTACTACTAGCCAAGTCTCAGGCCAAGCTTCGCACCTGCAGCAGTGCAATTGGCTTCTCCCTTTTTGGGAGAGCCATGCTGATTACAGCAGCAGTCTTCGCACAGCTTTGGTACGTGGCAGTTGTTTATCTCATTTCCAAGACAACCGCTACACAGTTGAGAAGGGACGCAGCTAGGTACATCTGGAAGCCTCGTGCAGACAAGGACGAAGGATACATTACGAAATGCTCCTGGTAGACAATCACACAGGACAAGCAGCAAGGCGGTCTTGGCATCTTGGACCCCATCACTCAGAACCTTGCTATTCTCTTCAAATGGTTCGTCAGGGCTTGCACTCAGACAGATGAACGCAAATGGCTTGCAGTGTTTGAATACATTGCACAGCAGGAGTTCAACCTCGCCAGACCCCGGGACATTTGGGCTTGCTTGTTGATGGACTCCTTCGTCCGCAGAAGGCCAGTGTCGCCACTGCTAGCAGCCTGCTGGGCCGCATGGAGGGCGCTCTCCAGTTTTCAAAGGAAGGAGCCTCAGACAAGGGAGGAGGTCCTTAGACAGCCTCTATTCGATAACTGCTATATAACAGACGAAGAAGGTCTCCCCTTTGCAGCCACGGCTGCGAGAGGCTCTTTCGGGCGCAAGTGGGTTGAGAAGGGTCTTGTTACGGTCGAAGATCTGTGGGACGACGAAGCTAAGTTATGGAGAACTATGGAGCAGCTCAAACAACTCCTAGGGAGACTACAGCTTGTAGCCGACCGCAGACAGGCCTTAATCCAAGCCATCCCAGATGCCTGGGTAGAACTGCTCAATTTACCCACACCGATCGTCGGCCAGTGGTACAGACGGGTGGACCTTCAGGAGCAGATGGCAGTGTTAAGGATCGGGGAACAGCTGGACGACTCCTCATACAGGGCTCAACAGTGGGCAATAAACTCAGAAGGGAGAGCACACAATTGGCAGCCAGATCTTCTCACCTTCCAGCAAGAACAGTGCATCTCACAAGATGAGCCTCTCCAGCTCGTCAGAGTCTACACCTCCGCCTCAGATCATCGACAGCAGACCCATCAGTTACTATTAAACGGCTTGCCGCTCCTGCAATGTCGTATAGACCCACTGGGGGGTTTCTGGAGGAATTCAGAGGGAAGTCCAATCCCCTTCTTTCACTTCACAACTTATTTGGGAAGGACTCTTCTGAATACACGGTCTGACTCGGTGGCTGAAGCCACCAGGCGGTTAGGACTACTCTCTGCCAGTGCTGCCCCTCCGTCGGCCTCCGATCTCAAGAATCTCTGGGTACAACTTCCGAAGCTCCCCTCCCTCAAGTTTGCCTCTCTCTTGTGGCTCCTTTCGCATGCAGCACTTCCATTGGCTGCTTGGCTTTTTGAGAGAGGCATGGACCTGCACACGAAATGTGGAAGATGTGGGGGACGAGCAGAGGAGACCCTCACTCACTTGGTGTGGGACTGTCCGACTTTGAAACGAATATGGCAATGGTGGGAGCTGCATTGGCAGACTTTCGTCGGAACCGCACTGGCTTGGGACGAGGCTTGGGCACTGTTTGGAGTTATTCCTTCCTTTTGGTTCAAAGCTGTGGGAAGAGGCTATGTGGCACAAGCAATCCGATCCGTCCTTCTGTGGGTCATTTGGATGGACCGAAACAACCTGCTTTTTTAGTATCAATCTACATCTGATCAGGCCACGAAGAGTAAGATCAAGTATCTGATCAGGACAATGATTGTAGGGAACTGGACGCTGAAAGCGGCAAAGGGACAATCGCCGAAAGGGCTTCGCTGGTTTCTCGTTACTTGGGCGCGAGATAACAAGTTTGTTGCAGTCACCACTGAGGGCAGGCTGCACATC